TTAAATAGCAGAGGTTATAGAATGAGAATCTCATGTTCATGGGTCTTCTTTTTTCATTCATATATTTTTGCACCCTTATATAGCCTTAAAATAGAAACTATTTCTCTATTATTGTTCTATGTAAGTATAATCCTTTAGATATTTTTTAATGCACTGTAGAGAATGTGTGAGGACAAAAAATGCTGAATATCCAAGTGAAGTCAGCCAGCCCTAGTGCAAGGGTATAATTTAGGGGAAGTACACATTTCAAAAGTCTTACCTAGAATTCTGAAATTTGAGAAGGTCTACTGACAACAGATGAATAACTGCAAAGGTAAGATTGTAAAATCTTGTTTTGGCAGTTTAAATAGTAGCACAAGCAGGAAGTCATGTGAAGCATGTGTTATTGTTTAATGCAAGACCATCTAAACTAAAAGAAAGACTAATTGAAAAAGGTTGTACTCGGGAGTGGGGGTGAGGAATAGGTTGCAAAAGCTAGCAAGCCTGAGAAGATGGACACGTGTACATTTGGAGCCCATATACTGCTTCATCCAGTATGGGATTAGTTTTGCTACATATGTATCGTTTCCCCGCTTCTAACATGTAACAGTTAAAAGGCATTTTCGGATTATAAGACTTTTGTGTCCCAAGTGAATTTATTTGCTGACTATTTGGTGGTTGTCCTTTATCAGTCAGTTCACTTTTGGTAAAGTCGTAATGCAGAAATAATGTTTTCTCACTACAGAACTTGACAGGCAAATCTTACCTCTTGATTTTGTTCTCCAGACCAATAAAAAAAAGTAATAGGAAAAAAGACTGTGTAAATAGGATATTCATTATCAGCCCTTGGCTTATTTTGGATATTTATTTCTTTTGTTATTAGGGAGAAGGTAAATGGGCCTTCATCACCTGTTTAAATGGGCTCATTTACTTAACATTAGAAAAGCTATGGGGTGTAGGGTGCTGAAGACCAATATGTAAAATAAGGTCTGCCAGAACCGTGGTTTAACAAGTAATGAGGAACCTGCTCAGAAAAGTCATAATAAGCAAGGCCACTGCAGTTCATATTTTTTCTGAAGTCCCTTTTCTCTCATGGTTTTAAAGTTAGAGGAGGAGGATGTTCAGGTATATTTAGTAACAGCATACACTCTCTATTATTTAGTTATCTTCTTAGGAGATACAAAATATAAAAAATTGGCACTAAATGGTCTTGTGATCTACTTCTAACTACTGTCAGTGAGAAAAATCCTGTAGACTTCAGGAAGCCCAATAGAAGCAGCTCAGATTTGTTGTGTGTGGGGTTTGCTGTCAGGGAGAAGATGCACAAGATACTTAGACTCCTCATTAGTGCTTCTTTTAAAGCTGGACCATTGGGCATCCCAAACAATGATATGTGTAGGACTAGAAGGAAGAAAGTAAGTTAGAGGATGTGTAGCTTGCTCTCTCTTTTTCATTGCCTGGCATGAAGCAGTACTTCACCGTGTTCACTGCTGCACACTGTACCACACTGCACAGTGGTGTGAGGCAGTGTTGTACTAAATCCACAATTAGACAGTTACACTAGCTAAAAATGCCCTCCCCAACCCCAACAAGGAAGAGGACAGTACTGCTGCAGTCATCAGAGTCCGCTTGGCAGATGCTCCACCTCTTTGGAGAGAGAGGAATGTTGTTTGCTCCAAACCATGTGAAAACCCCTGGAGTCAAATGCTGCGTGGAAGTCTATTTCCGTATGTGCATTCAAGTGGCAATTTGCTGGCAGCGCAAGTGCCATGTTAGCTATTTACAAACAGGTTTAGATTCTATTATGCCTACATGCAGACTGAGTGTGTGTAGTTGGTATGAGCTGGCTGGGCAGGTACAGCTATGCACATGCTCCCACTCTGGACATGTACCTGTGTCACAGTTTAATATATATATATAAAACCAGCCAACAATCCATGGCTGGATGTTAGATTCCAGAGAAGAAGCTTTCCGCATTTTAGTCCCAATAGGGCACTTGTCCAGGAAGCCAGAAGCCTAGGTTTCAAGTCCTTACTCATCTAGTAGAGACTTGACCCAGCATCTTTCTAACTTCCCAGCATAATATTCTAACCATAACACCACTGGTTAGGCCAGGGCTGGGCAAAATGTGGCCCAAGGGCTGGATGCGTCCTGCCAGGCCATTCTATCCAGCCCACGGGGCCCCTAAAAATTTAGAAAATTAATATTAATCTGCTGAAACTCAGTAAGCGGCCCTCTGCCCAAAATAATTGCCCACCCCTGGGTTAGGCACTACTCAGACTCCTCATTAGTGCTTCTTTTAAAGCTGGACCACTGGGCAGCCCAAACAATGATATATGTAGGACTTGAAGGAAGTAAGTAAGCTAGAGGATGTGTAGCTCTGTGGGATGCCTGCTGGCCTGGAAGACAGTAGGCCTTCTGTTCTAACCTGGACCTTGTTCCCCATGAGGCAGAAACAACTGTTACTAAAACATTTTACCCATTAACTATTAAATGCAGTGGGTAGTGAATCAGCCTTAAAAGAAGTGCTGGAGAAGAATCAGAAAGTGACTGACCTGTGATGTGGTAAGTCTGACTTTCTAGCACCGTACTTGAGAAAGCCAGATTCAAACATCTTTGGGCAAGGGCAACTTAAAACCCAGGTCCTAAGTTAATACCTTAAGCTCTCAGCTAATGAGGCTACAATAAGGGAGGCTGTCTCTTCCCCATTCCTGAGTTCTTTTTCTGGGATTTAACTTGGGTACCACATGTAGGTAACCACATGCCTATCCAGCAAGTTTAAAATGCGAAAATACCTACAGTGTTTCTGTGTTCATTTGAGAGTATTTATTTCATAGATGTACTGTTTTACAGTGCTGTATAGAGATACCCAAGCTAGCCCTGAAATTGGCTATTACCCCAAGCGTCTGCCTGGCAGTGTGCTGTGGACGCATACTTGAGAGCTGTAGTTTTCAACCTGTGCTCCATGGACCCTTGGGGGTCTACAGACTATGTCTAAGGGGTCCACAAAAGATGACTATGATGAATCAAAAATATGTGAATACCCACCTCTATAGTTCAAAAGGGTCTGCACCTCCATTCAAAATGTTTTAGGGGTCCATCAATAAAAAGATTGAAAACCACTGCTTTAGAGCCCTGTCAAAACTACAAACTTACTGTGCTTGCCTTGACTTTCTCACCCCTGGTGTTGCACAGATAAATCTGGTTTCACTGCTATCAGATGGGCTGGTAGCACAGAGCCACGTGGTGTCTTTTTGAGAGTGCTGATGGTGGGCACAGTTAATTAGACAGCAATCAGAAAAAGGAAACAGGTGCCTTAAAGTGCTTTATAAAGCAATGGGTTAATAAATCCCAGTCATGAATTATGTATTTAAAGCTTTATGGCTCTTTAAAACAGATATTCAACTGTTTTGTGAAGCCTGAAAAACCAGCTCCTGAATAAAGAGCCCAAACACTTTATCAAACCTAGCTTTTCACCTGGGTGACCCATCAACAGTTCATCTGTGAGGTAGATATTGGTCTGACTATAGATACAGTTCCATCATGCTGCTTTTTGCCTCTTGTGAGCAGGTAGCAGGATGAAGTTGTCAAGACATCAGCTTACAGACTAAACTCATGTCCTCACAAAGCCCGTGGACTTAATTCTTGGCCTTCCAGCCTCAACTATTACCCTGGAAGTGCTAACAGTGTGACTCTGTTGGTGTAACAGCATAGCAACAATAATCTGTTTGAAGTGATTTACAAATAGGATTTTAAAATTAACCCTCTCCATGCCAGCAAGTAATTATCACTATGTCTCTTTTGCAGATGGGGAAACTCAAGCAGGCAGGTTAATTGACTTGTCTAAATCCATATATGGAGTCAACATCAACTCCAGCCTGATTCCCAGTGCTATGACCAATAGACCACACATTTTATTTGAATTCAGCTACAGTTCACTTATGATTGTGGACAAGACAACCTGCTTTACTGACAGAAAACATTGGAAGAAATTATCTTCTATAGTAAAGTTCATATTTTAAGTATAATTATGCATTTTTTGTCTTTTTTCTCAAAGAGATTTTTAAAATTGCTTTTATACAAAGGATTTTTTTGTGGATGGCCTCTCTTATTGAACCAACTGGGAAGGATATAAGCAAGCTTTAAGGGTACCAAGTACCATTCCTCAGTTATATAAGCTATGACACTCCACTTTAAATGTACTTGTAAAACAGGAACATAATGAATTGTGGAAGCACACATGCATTATCTCTATCTAGTATCTAAAATTTTTAATCTTAACTGTGAGAAAAGTGATTTTTGCATGCAGGCTCTTGGATACCTTGTCCAGTTGGTGATTTTTACCTTAAAATATTGTGGTGGTATTTTATATCTGAAAAAAACATCATACGTAATAATTTAGGGTGCAGACAGAAGTGCAGCTCCCAGCTGTAACTTCTGCAAAGCGTTCTGAGGTACAACCTTACTCCAGACCAAACAGAAGTTCACTGTTAGTACCAGGGGGGAAGGGAATCTAGCTGCAGAGCTTGTAGCCAAGTTCCCATAGCGAGGGTTGGCACTCTCTGTCATCTCTCCCTGTTTGCAGAATGGGAGGGGGGAAAGGCAGTGGAGGGAGCTCATTCTTGGGGCTCCCCAGCTGGTGCTGAAGGGTGGGGTGGGTGAATTGGAGCCTTGGGGGATGGCTGCAATACAGCCCTCCCACCCTCCAGAGGGAGGTTAAACCCCCCCGCCCCAAACTGAACTCCCTCCACTTCCTTTCCCCACTCCTATTCTGAAAACAGCAGTAGGCTGGGCGCTCAGAAGACACAAGTTATACAAGATGCTACATTTTGTAACATTTGTATCTGATACCTCATGCCATGAGTGGTCAGATTTTCACCCAATCGGCCATTTTTAAGCTGTCTGCAGCCATGCACTTGTGTTTGGTCACAGCTATAAACTGCTTTTTGTGGCCAGATTGGCAAAAATTGTCACTTCTGTCTGCACCTTTGCTTCAAGAAATTAATCAACTGTGTACTTACCATTTCTCCTCCTCTACTTGAACACCTATGGATTGGAACTTACTGGTTGCTTTATTTTCACCCAGTCTGGTGGATTCTTCAGCACCATCCACCTAAAAAAAAAAAACAACAAAAACTAAACAAACCAGATATAAATGGTATGTGTTTTAATAAAGATAATTAATGCAGCTCATTTACTTAAATTGTTATTGTATCTTATTGACCAAGGGATATAAGGTCTATGCTTCTACCACAGCTGCCTTCATTCATTCAGATGCTTATTTATCTATAAAATACCATGCACAGTTATGACTATATACACAACTGTGATTCTTGTTAATGTATAAAATGTTTGTATAGGCAAGGATGGACTTGCAATATGCAGATGGAGTTTCTCCAACATATGATAGATTCTGATTACTTGATTTATTTTTAACTAATGTGAATGTGCATGAGAAGTGAAGTGATGTTGAAAGTTATATATTTTAAAGGAATTAATTTTGTTTACGTATTAGCATTCTGGAATGGAATATTACCAGTACAAGATTCAAAACACATTATACGTGCTTTTTATCGGCACTATTAATCTTCAAATTGATTCATGTCAATATTCATCATAACATATTTGATAATTTTCCAGTTCAATTGGGACCTGATTTTACAAAATAACCTGAAGGTAAGTATGATTGGATGTTTTGGGTAGTACCTGAATTCCTGGTTCTTTTGCCCCAGACATTGCATGCAAGATACCAGCCCAGCAGATAATTGGGGTGGGTGGGGGATTGATGACTGTCCAGGATATGGATATTAAGCTTCATTATTTTGGACTGACATGGAACTATTAAAACAAAACAAACCAAAACAACTCTTTGGGGTAGAGATCATTTTCTTCTCTGAATCAGATTCTATCCTCTTAACTCATGTGGAGAGGAATATTTTTCTGGAATAGATCCTACTAACACCAGTGGCGGTACTCAAAGAGTTAGGCACTACTCAAGGTTAAAAAAAAAATCTGGACCTTGGTGTTTTAAGGTGTAAATTTTACAATATTATGAGTGGTTATTATAATAACAACTCAGAACCTAGCAGCAAATGACATTTTCCTATGGAGACTAGAGTAATGTGAAGAAGTGATCTAAAAATTCCTACTCTGAGCTGTGGAATATGAGCACCTCAATATCTAGACCGAGAGGGTTGGAAGTGGAAAACACAGTGCTAACACATACTATAATGAATGTCTCTCCCAATTGACTACTACATAAGCATGTAATTCTATAAAGATTGAAACATAAAGAAGAGCCTCGGGACCCAAATGATTTTCAGTAGGAGCCCTTTAGTTTGTGCCCTGAAGAACATTACAAACTAAACTAAACTACACCAACATAGGAAAATGTAATATCAGAAAGGAAAGGTTCAGAGTTGCACAGCCTTTCAATATAACTTCTATTGCTATCTCTAACATTTGGTGAAATTTTACATCTTAAGCCCTTCATTGGCTCAAGTCTATAGAGACATCTGTCAACTGGTAGAAAGGAGGCAAAATTTTTGTATTGGGTTTTTTAAGTTTTGTTTTGTTTTAACTAAAGACAGCTCTGAAGCTAAGGTTTGAAATATCAGAAGTCTTGGTGAGGTGATAAAAGTTTAATGATAAGTGCACTTCAAACTACATCCATTAGAGAGAGAAAATACAATAAAACAAAAGCATGTGACCAACAAATGTGACCTGCTTTGTTCTCTAAGGAAGCATCTTTACATGTTGCTTGAGACAGGTTCCCTGGTCGCTGACAGTCTTAACTTCTTATGAATATAAGTAATTAACATTCCTGCAACATTTTGCTTGGAATTGGAATAAGGAATAATATTACTTGCAATCAGGAAATGTAAAATATTGTAGGGGAATATTTCAAAGACACAAACAAAAAGTTTGAACATCTTCATCTCTATTGGCACACTAGATTATGGAATCCAAGCATATTTTATTTAACGTTATATCCATTTTAAGAATGGACAAAAGTGAGACCCTACATTTCCCTTTAGGAATTATGGTTACAACAGTATCATTAATTCAATTTTCCTCACATGTAGTATTTTTACACTTTCTATTCTTATTCCAGGAACTTTACAACAACCTTTAGCTTTGTAATTTTCTCAGTTTTGTGCAAAACTTAATTCCTTTTTGTCTATTACACTGCAAATGGTCTTTGCCATTAGTAAAGATCCTCACTGAAATGAGTGACAAAGACTGATCTGAGATGGGCATAAACAGTAGTAGAGGCTTCCCCGCCTCGTTCAGCCTACTTGGATCAGGATTCCAGCTCTGGAGCTGAGCCCAGGCCCTCCTCTTTGAATATATCCTCCCCCAAACAGGTTGGGGAAGAGAAAGTGAGGGCACCAAGGGGGCAATAACTTATGCCTTTTCAAGGCTAGCAGTAGTTAACCTCTGCTCAGAGCAAGAGGAGAGCAGAGGTAGAATTGCAGGAGCTTCTCCTGAGGTGGCACAGTAGCATCCCACACATTACTATGGTCAGCCAGAAGCCTATCTAGTCCACAGTAGTTAGACCAGCCTTCCTGACCAATTCATTGAAAAGCTTTGTGATTAATGATCATTGTCTGATCCATGATCAATGATCATTCATATGAAATCAAGTGCACTTATCTTCAAAGGGCATTTTCAGGAGGGATGATTAGTTTATGGTTCTATGACCTGTTTTCTTGGGATTTATTTTTCTCCAGAAAATGAGTTGATTCTCAATTAACTCCAATTCTGGTTTTGAAAACATGGGCAGCCAGCAGATTTTAAGTGTTTATGAGCATGTTCTAGGTTTACCAGTAATATTTTAAGAGAGTCATCAGAGAGATTTGTGTGTGTGTGCATATCATAAACATCTATAAATATAGTAGCAGTAGTCGTAGGCAGACCTTGATTCTCTGGATTATGGTGTACACATAAGAGGTCTAGTCAGAGGTCTAACCTGATGAACCTGTTTGTGGCTGACAAACCCAATTGGAGAGCAACACAGCTTGTTACATGTTTCACAGATCCCTCTGTTGTCTGAGCTGGAGTCCACATTTACAGCATAAACATATAGCAAATCCACAAAGGAAATGGAGAACATTATTTACTCTTCCCCTTTCTGTAAGCTTCAGCAGCTCTTGGTTGTGTTGTTTTCATCTTGTTTCACACAACTAGAGGTAACAAAGTTTTAATTTAGTTTGAGCTAGTGTAAATTGGACGGATCTTATCTTACACTCTTGGAGCAGAGATAACCGCCATATAGAACAATGCCACCTCATTCAAGTGACTAACAGTTGCTATGAAATGCATGACTAAGCAGTAACAATTCAGCTAAGCTGGTTGAAAATATTTTTCTCCTGATAGTGTAATGTAAATCATTGTTTTACACATTCTCTTTCAATGACTTCATTCAGGCTTTTCTGACCCCTGCTGTATTATGACTCATGGGTTGGTGCTTATGTATAATTTAACACAACTGAATTGGTTTGGTAGCAAGCAGACTTAGCAAAGTCTTACACCTGATATAGTTAAGATTAATTAGTAAAATTTCAGCAGCAGCACCCAGAATAAGTACTACTGAAATCTCTACACAGGTACCTGACTGAAATAGAAAAGGGGAGATTTGAAAGAGAGCTATATGGCTCGTTCTGAAACTAATATAGAAAGTGGAATGAGCAACAGACACTTATTTGCTACTATAACCTTTTATCTTACCTGTATTCCAATGGATAAACATCTGTTTTTCTTGAAGTGGTCCTTCCTTCTGTCTTCTACAGCAACAGTGGCGATGGTGGTGGTTGTGGTGACAGTGGCAGTATTGTTACCTACATGTTGGCTAGCTGGGCCATGGATCTGCGCATTAGCTGCCTCAATAGCAGCAGTTAATGCCTTCATGCTGTCCAAGCTTTCTGTAGAGTTGCTAAGTCCAGACTGACTGATGATATCTCCCCTTTGTCCCTGCCCGTCCATATATGCATCTTGGGCAGACTCTGTGCTGCTTTGAGCAGTGATGGAAATAAAAGGTTTGGTGGTTGTTCTTGGTGGAACTGGAGGTGGTGTCTTCTTATAGGTAGTAATACAGGATGACACTGGAAAAAACCAAAAAGAGTCTTTGGTTTCTATTTTTGTTTTGCTATCATAGCTGCAGAGCAGTGTGAGAAACTAATTCCTACAGATTCCAAACCTGCAGAATTGACGGTAAGGCATCAGCTGGCATTGGGGAAATGGGAGGTGAGAAGGAACTGTCCGACAACAAGCTACAGCAGGTTCCAATGAAAGAGCTAGGCTGTTACCTTGTTTATTGGCTACTTCTGTACATATCAATGCCAATGGCAAAATTAACCATACAGGGGATGGAAAATACACAGCCACCTAGTCCCTCTCCCACCTTGTCAGGATTGTTTTCTTCAGTATATTTTCTACTCTGGACCAGTCTGGTTTTTATAAGTGTCACAAGTATTCTCCATGTATATATCCTTTTGCCATAGTTTTTAAACAGCATTGACATAGGTTGATCTCAGGATAAACTCACCTAGGCAAAACTGTACCTTATGCTATATTTTACTGTTGTCATGTGTTTCATCTAGGCCAAATGTGTCAGAACTCATGGCAGAGGTGGTATCTTTTATTAGACCAACTAGATATTTGCAAAAAATAAATATGTATTTGCAAGCTTTTGGGCACACACACCATTCGTCAAGCATAGGAAAGTGTAAAACAGAAGATTGTAACACTTCTCCTAGCTCTGCTGTGAAATATGAACTTTCGTTTCTACCTAGGAGAAATGTTACAATCTTCTGCGCTCTCTTGTGCCTGAAGAAGGTCCCAAAAGCTTGAAAATAAAGATTTTTTTTGCAAATATCTAGTTGGTCTAATAAAAGGTGTCACCTGCCACAAGTTCTGATTTCTTTGGCCTGTAGACCAATGCAGTTACAACCTGGATACCATCTTCACCAGTGATTTTCAGTTACGGTGGCATGGCACCCTGGGGTGTCTTGAGATCCTTTCAAGGGTGCCCTGGGGTGCCATGCAATGCTAGCATTATTGGGTATGCAAACATTATTCACAAGATAAACCCCGAGATTTCAAATAGGAATCCATGGTGTTAAAAACATTCTGAGTGTTCTGGGCTTTCTGACTTTGCAACAGAACAACAGCTCTATTATTTTTCCATAGTCAAACAACAAGTAAAAACTTTAACTAGCATATTTCAAGGGGTGTCTTAAGTCTATAAAGGTTCAGAACCACTGATCTAGGCATTACAACATCAATTACTGCATAAACCCAAATTTAAGCAGGATTTCTAAGGGCAGTTCTATGGCCAGTGAAGATGGTATTTGCTTTTACTGTGCTCATGAGATTCAAAGAGCACCTTGTGTTAAAGTCTGTTTACCATGAATTATACTTAAACCTATGTATTTCTGAATGCCACAAGTGTCTTGTAAATTGTAATGGGTCCTCAGGTCACACTAAAATATTCTGTAAACATAAAAAATAACTATGTAAGCCATTTAAAGTAATAGCCAACAGTTATCATGGATACGTCTTATACTAAATATATCATTTCAGTTCTGAAAAGATTGATGTGCATGCTTAATTTTACTCACTGTAAATAGTCTCCCTGAAGTCAGTGATGGGAGACTGGAGTCAAGGGGACAGCATATAAAGATGAATCTATGCACACATTTTTTGCAGTGTTAGGGGCTTTAAGGAAAAACTGCTTCAAGAGGCTCTATGGTCCACTGTTCTAAACATCAGCTCAGCTTATCTGACTATGGATTTGAAGCTTAACTTTAGGTTTCCAGCTTGGAAAATTTTACCTTTTTGCACATAGAATTGCATTAGCAAAGCACAGCACAGAGATTTAAGAAAATCTAGCCTTCAGGGTTAGTTGGCTATTTTTGAAATGCTTTCAATTAAAAAAGTAGGAACCTAAATCCAATCACAAAATGTTATATGTTTTGGGGAAAGTAAATACAGGCATTAATGTATGCATACGTTCAGTCACAAACATGTCAGCAATGGTCTAACAATAATCATAAGGAAAGAGATGATTTATCAGGTCATTTTAACTGGCAGACATCTGTGCCACCCACATAAAAGGTCACTACACTACAGCTGTTCCGCTGCCTGTTTTTGTACTGTATGTGTTTGCTGAGCCAGAAGCCATTATGACATTAATTTGGCCACCTCAGGTCTACATTGCATGTTCTTTTACTGCTGTAGGAATGCATTTTATTTGGCTGTGGAATAAAGGCTGAACAAAGACATGAAATCACACATGGATTATTTTTCTAAAGATCCCGGTATTAGTTTGTGATTAGATGTTGGTGAGTGTGAAATTCTGTATCGGTTGATTCAAACATATTAAGCAATGATGAAAAAGAAAAGCTCACTAAAATAATTAGGGTTTTGAAAGTGCCATAAAATAAACTGAAAAATCAGCTTCTGGGGTGGGGTAGGAGGAATTGATTAAAAATGAACTCCTCACATAACCTTCAAAATCTGCAGTTTTTATATGAGATGCAGACTAAGGTGCTGTTTTAACTAGCTCATGATGGGGAAAATATCTGGAGATAAGAAAATGTCATTTCTGAACAGGATTCTGAATTTTGTCTAAGTCTCTTGACTGGGTGTGATGTAACAAAAAAGCATTTGTTACAGATGCTGATGTTTAGGAGAATCTGCTACTACTGATACAGCAGAAGCTTTGATACCAGGACTTAAAAAAATTATCAAGAATGTAGTTGGCATGTTTCATCAGCACACAAACACCACAAGTGACTGAGGAGATTCATGGTCTTGAGAGTATTCTTTGCATATTGGAAGTACAAGCCCTGAAAATTATTGGGATGATGAAATTGAACATGTGCTTGCTCAGATGATGTTAAAAATGTATTAGCGCAGAAAAGTTTTATGTACAATACTATAACAATATTGGACTATCTGATGAAGTATATTGTGTCTCCTTTCAGACCTACTATGCAGGGTTTCTGTGTTCTTGGAGGACATAGAAACAGCTCCCACCCAATGGATAGGTGATGGTACTTTGGATGATTCCCCTTGAGGCACAGCAATTTGTATTTCTGTGAATCAGTGGGTGTAAATTTAGCCCATTAAATAATTAACTCTCAGAACATGCCAGCAAAGCAAGGGTATCGTTATTTCTATTTAACACATATGGAAGCCAACAAGAAGGGACCTGGAGGTCCTATATGTGGTGAGGCCCTGTAAAGTCGATCTCAGGTAGTAATAACATTGGTCACCTCATCCTATAAAGGAAGCCAATAAACAGTATCTGTTGAGTATTGGTATCTTAACAGCATTTTGGACAGTTTCTAATGCTAAATAACTCTAATGTAGATGTTTTTTCGACCTTCTGGTAAATGCACCCAACAGAGAAAATAGTTCATATTGTGAACATGTTTCTACCCAGTTAATTAAGAATAACATTGCTATTAAGTGGAGAAAAAAACTGACAGGTCATATGGTGAAATGTGTCGAAAAGGAACAGTACAGTTGCTTTCACATGTCAAAACAAATCCTTAGTTTCCTGGAGCCACACAGCACATACTGTACAAATCCAGAGAGGCAGAGAGTGCAAGTCATAAAAGAGCCCCAGGCACTTCATTACTGGAAATGATGTAAGCGGCTGCCACTCCTTTGCAGAAACTACAACAAAACAATGAGAAAGCTGCAGTCTGTGGCAGCTGCTCTCTAAATGTCATAACTGACTGAGCCCTTCAGAAGCCAAAACATAACAACCAAATGGACTCTGTGCCTCAGTTCTTTCCAAGCACTTTCAAGAACCTGGCAACTTGTGACATGGTAACTGGTAGGGTCTTGAAAAGGCATTTGGCTTTTTATTATTCAAAATCTTGTAGCAAATTTAAAAGCATTTAAAACTGCTAAAAAACCCAACAAACCCAGGCACTCTCTTTACCCAGGCCAATAGAGACAGTGTGTTTCATCAGTGTTGCTGTCCTGGCTGTGCCAGGAGCTATGTCAGCGGGTGCCAAAGAATCCCAACCTGCTATGGTCTGCCAGAAAGAGGCCACCATGAAGGTGTACTTTGAGATTACTGCCTGGGAGGGGAGAGTGAAAAAGACAGTAAATTCTTCCCTTGGACACAAAACTGTGCTGTGGATTTAACTCCATTTGAAAGGTAATTTGGATTAAGGGAGGTTGTTAATTGAAATATTTATTTCTGAACAACTACATGTGGACATCATAAACTAAATGGGGAATAACCACTTTTATTCTGGATCAAGAAATGATAATCTACTTTCAAACTGAATATTCAGCTAAGCAGGGACAAGGCACTCTTTTCAGAGTCTGTTTACACATGGAGTTATTCAGGAATAAAAGTGCTACATGAGATTAATATATTTCACTTACACAATCCAGAGTAAGGCATAAGATTTCCTCACATAGATTGATGTTTTACCCATCACTGCTTATATAAAAGGCCTGTGCCTGCACATTCATGTTTGTTCCCCACTAAACATGTTTAAACAGCAGCACTCTTATAATGAAATATTATAACTGAAGTCTTTAATATTAAGTAATGCTGTATAACTTTTTTTTATCATTAGACATCCTTCTGAACTGGGAGGTTGATGCTCCTTGTTCCAGAGTCTTTTGGGGTGAATTAGCTGTTTTGGAAACATTAGCTAATAGAAATGTTCTCACACTTTTCTCCCCATAGGGACAAGCAGACAGAAGTGACAGTTTTTGCCCAATTTGGCCCCAGAAAGCAGCCTATAGCTGTGACCAAACACAAGTGCAGACAGCTTAAAAAATCGCCGACTGGGTGAAAATCTGATCCCTCATTGCATGAGGTATCAGATAAAGACGTTTCAAAATGTAGCATCTTTAGTAACTTGTGCCTGTGGAGCTCCCAGTCTGTCCCTGTTTTCAGAATGGGAGGGGAGAAGGGAATAGAGGGAGTTCACTTTGAGGGTTTTTCAGCCCCCCCGCAAGGTGGGACAGCTGTATTGGAGCCCCCCCCAAGGTGGGGGAGCTCTAATTCACCCATCCCATGATTCAGTACCAGCAGGGGAGCCCCAAAACCAAATGCACTCTGCTG